ACCACCCCCCCAACACACACGTCTTTCACAAGTTTCTCTGTGGATTTGGGCTCCTCGCAGTGAGCGCAGTCCAACCCCATCTGCAAAAAAAAAAAAAAAAAATCCTCGGACATTTTTTGGCTCGTCTGGTTTTGCCGGACGGACCCCCCCCGGTTCGTCTGGCCCGGTCCGTCAGGCCCAGTCCGTCTGGACCGGATTTCGGCCTAACTCAGGGTTTTTTTTTGTTGTTGTTTTTTTGCACTGAGCGCTGGACTGCTCGCTCGCATTGCGCTAACGCATCCATGCCGCATCACTGCCGACTGGGTCCCGCCTCCTGAAGGCCACCGCCGCACAGCGTTGTCACGTTGTGAAACGTTACATTTTCAGTAGCAAAGCCCATAGTAACAGGGCATTTCCCAAACATAGTTTTCCCTCACTTGGTAAGAGTAGCATTTGTTGGTTGACCCAAAAAAAAAGAAAAGAAGCATTTGCAAAAAGTCGGTTGAATCCTACCCCTTAAGCAGCACTGGCCGCGGGGGGGGAGGTCGATGGTCCGCTGCGCGCCGGATTTGGGTCGAACTTTTGACGAGGGCCGGCGGATGAAGGCGATCCAGGGCAGGGGAGTGTGCAGAGGGGCGCACGTACTGAAATGTTCACAGAGCGCCATTAAACAAGAAGAGCGCGCCCACGGGGCCGGGCACACGGTGGCCGTCGATGGGGATGAATATATTGAAGCGCCCGCCGTCGATAGCATTTCGGCGTCGCTTTGTGCCCCACCCCCTTTTTCTTTCAGCACTGGCCGCGGGGGGGGAGGTCGATGGTCCGCTGCACGCCAGATTTGGGTTCGAACTTTTGACGAGGGCTGGCGGATGAACGCGATCCAGGGCGGGGGAGTGTGCAGAGGGGCGCACGTACGTACTGAAATGTTCACAGCGCGCCATTAAACAAGAAGAGCGCGCCCACGGGGCTGGGCACACGGTGGGCGTCGATGGGGATGAATATCTTGAAGCACCCGCCGTCGATAGCATTTCGGCGTCGCTTTGTGCCCCACCCCCTTTTTCTTTTTTGTTTTCACATTTTGTAGTTTTTTTTGTTATTTTTTTTTGTTGTCGTTTTGTTTCCTTTTTTTTATTTATCTTTTTTACTTTTAGTTTATTATTGCTTTTTCCTGAGTACAGACGCCGCCCGGCCGGGCGGGGCTGGGCGGGCAAAAAAACAGCCCAGAATTTTTTTTATTTTTTTTTTGAAGGAGGGGTCCTCCTGTGCTCGGCGAGAGGACCTCCAATCTGCAATAAAATTTTGGTTTGGGGGGGGGGACGGGTTGTCTGGCTGTGAGGGGGGGG